TCATCTTCACTTTTACATCTGTACATTAATGCTTATTTACATAAGCAAAGTCAGAAATAGAAAATGTGAAGATTACTGTATTTGTTTTCTTTCTTTCTTTCTTTCTTTCTTTTTTTTTTTTTTTCCTGCAAGGCCCACTTGTTCTTGTAAGACCTTCTTATACAGAATAGCAAAATGTTCTTGAGGGATGCATAGTTTTGATGATATGACACTGGAAAAAGTGATGTAACTGCTAAAGTAAATATCAGAATGCAGTCTTATTGAAAGCCAATGGTAGTCGTGAGACTTAATGATTCTGAAGAGAGACTGTAGGAGTAGTGAACAATGATAATGTAGCTTCTAATATAATCATGGCCTTTGTGTAACTGATGTTGCAATATATTTCACTGTATTACCAGACAGTAGCATGGTAACAAAGGTAGCAGTAGTAATGCATTTTACCCTGCATGTTTTCCTGCAATTTTATTTTTCTTTCTTTTTTTCTCTTTCTCTTTGTGAGTACTTATACATATATACATACATGTATGTGTGTGCATATATATCTATTAAAATATGCATTATTTAGAGTAGCTGCTAAATATAATGCATGTGGTAGGCAAGCTGTAATTCTCTATGTCTAGTTTAAAACTCGCATTTATATTTCATATATAATGCCTCTCCACCTATCCTAGTGAGAAGAAATCTTTTATGCTGGTGGTATTTGCAGTGAAAAAAAAACATAATGGGAAGGTTAGTAATTTTAAATTTAGCCATTTAAAATATGACCCTCTATATCTGTACGCTACACAAATCTTATTATGTAGAAATTCTGCAGCAGGAGCTAGCTGCCTTTGGTTAGATCTATACAATCCAGAGTGGCTCGGTGGAGTTGAGTAGGAAGAAATGAATGCCAAGTTAAATTAGGCATTATCCTTTCTCTTGAAAGGATCAATTTAAAGATTAAAATTGTGTTATGAAATACTTATTAGCTCTATGCTAAAGATGCTTAATGAGAACAATGGTAAACCTTACCCACTAAAATTAGCAGGATAGGTAAGAGAGAATGTAATAATATTGACCCAGGAGTCAAAAGGAATTGAACTTCACAAAGCATCTTATTGCTAACTTCCCTCTTTAAAAATATCTTAATAACTTTTTCTTTTATCCTGAGAAAAGTCATTTTCATAGTGATTTTTTTGTTTTGTTTTGGTAAGCATCTTTCGTTAGGAGAAAATACAGAGATCATAGCTTATGTCATTGTAACATGCATGAGATGATAGTTCCTAAATAAAGCCTCAAAACTGAAAAGAGTTTATTTTCCTCACAGTTAAGGCTGCTCTATTCTGTCTGCGTGAAGAGGAAATTGACGATTATTCCCATAGCTCATAACTTGATTTACCATCTCTGAACTTTCCTCTCCAATATTTCTAAAACATAACCGTATCAGAATGTTATGCTTGATGTCTACCTGCCCTGCATTGTGGCCAAGATTTCAGCTTACGGCTTTGGCGTTCCATAAATTTGAAATGCTGAGAACCTTCTTTTCCTTAATTTTCTATGTTTTGTTTTGATTAGCCTTTATGGGACTGTCTAGCATATTTTTCTCATTTTTGGAACTATTTTATAGAACTCTTCAGATTTTATTGAGCCAATTTACATAGTTCTGAAATAAATCTCAGCAGTCCGTAACTCTTCCAGTCAGCTATAGCACTCTTTAAAAATATAGTTACAGCAGTTATTATCCTCCAGTCCTTCAGTATAGTAGCTGATTTTAATGAGGAATTCCATGTTATTGAGTTTTAGAATCCCTTAAACTAACTTTCTCATTTAATTTTTAAGTTAATATGACTGTGAGCATTTTATATGATCACTTCCATAAAATTTATCTGAAATGATACTGCAGTCAACTTAGTTCACTGGTTTTGATTACTTCTAGAACTAACTTCACTATGTAGCACTTTAGGCATAACCATAATGCTGTTGGGGCTATGACTGGATCACGTTTAGGCATATCAAGCTAACTTATGCATAGCTCAATGGTTGCAGTTTAAATGCAGCAGCATAGGATTAATACAAAGTAATACAAATAAGCATTCATACTTGATTAGTGCTTGAATTGTGCTGAAAATCCATGTTACGCTTTCACTGCTGTTGCTATCAAACCAGTTAACCTTGTGCAAGGTTTGTCTATTGATACTGACAATTACACGTTCTATCAGAGATGTAGACTCCCTTGTGTGCTCTAGATCTAGTTATTCCAAGAAACAGGCGGTAACATAGGCAGGAATATATAGTATGAGTTGGTATTTGAACAGCAGATACACAAGTTGCTGGGAAACATTGCTAGGAATGATTCCTCATCAATTTCTTGATCTTAATATCACTTTCCTAAGCTTTCATATTTGTTAAATTTGAAAGAAATATTTATATATATAAGAACAAATCTTTATATTTTTAGGCACAAAAGTGGGAAAGGATGGGAAGAAACCTGGATTTTCCCCCAAAAGGGGAGATGAGGAAGGCCTGCACTCATGAGAATACTTTTTTCTTAAAATATGTATAGTGTACTTGTATAGTTCTTTCCAGTCAGGAATATTAATTTGATTAGACATGAAAGAATCTGTGTATCTATGGTGATATCAAATAACCTTCATGATCCTAAGTGTTTATTGCAGGTAGTGCAGGACTACTCCGGCTTTTTCTTTCTATGTAGGCTTAGGAAAGATGATCACCTTTGGCCAGGCTAAGTCATTTTTTCCAGTCGTGGCATCTGCTTCTTCATCTGGAGGAATGGGAAAGGGGCCTCCAAGGATGAAAATGTTACTGTAGTTCTCACCTATGTATGTGTCTTGACTACCAAGCAAGTAGTCAAGATATTTTGGATTTTGCTTGATTAGACGTGTGCCCTGTGCCCTGACTGTTGGATTAACATTCTTATGACTGACTTTAGAGTTCATCAAATTTCTGTTCTTTGAATACTTTGAGCTGCATTCGGGGCTTTATTCTCTGCTACCCTGAGAAATTACAAAATTACTTGTATCCATTCAAATTTGAATGATAAAAATTGCCGTTCTGATGTAGGTTTTATACCCCTAAATGTAAATGTCGACCCAAAAAAGAGCAATCAGATCTCATTTTTGCCTTCATGCTGGAAGCTAAGGGCTTTTATACTGTTTAAGTACTTTTACTTTAACGCTGTCTTCACAGAAAAGCTTGCCTTTACTGGATCTTTTATGGATACTTTTTCACCGTAAAGTAAATTCAACGTACATAATGATATTTATTTTATCATCATCCTCATCAAATATAGACTTTTCATAGACTTAAAATTTCAAAGACAGTGCCAAGGCACTGGATCTGATACTACTCTCTTTTATTCACGCTTCTCCAATGACTCTAATGAGGCTGGACTAAATGATAAGGTCAAAGTTGGACAGCATGCTTTTTTATCTTTTCTATTCCTATATAGTTCTTTCCTTAGAAATGTATTTCAAATTAAGTGACAGGTGCGCTATGAACATTTTTCCTTCATGGGTTATCAGCAAAGTAAACTCTGAATGGGAAGGGATTTCTCTATTTTCCTTGTATCTTTAGGTGAACCACTCTGCATCACATAGAGTAGTGTACGAATTACCTTTTCATGACTATAAAATAGAGCTGGTCTGGCTCTTAACGCTTCCACTACTGCTCTCAGTGACTACAATTACTTTCTATAAATTATCTTGCAATGATACATATTGGTCACAAACGTTGATTGGTGTTTTATTCTCTCTCTCATCAATGCCATCATCTGGAGCTGATTTTGCAAACTATTAAAATAATTCATGATAAGTAAATGACTGTTGACAGTTCATCTGTTAGTTGTTGCCCATATAGCCTATGTATTTTATGCTTACTCATCTTATCAGAGAAACTATTTCTACTCTAAAAAAGTAAAGCACTTATGTAATCATAACAGCTTCTGACGAGTGCATGCCAGTGAGTATTCGCCATCACTTTACATTATTTGAACAAAATCTAGGGAATGATTTTCTTTTGAGGCTACATTTCTCACCCAACTCCTAACAAAATTCCACATTTTTACTTTACACTGTAGCAGCTGTGAACAGCTGTAACCTTTTTATCCATCGAGAAAAATATTATTTTAAACAAAAAGAATTCTTTCATTAGGGGAGGGCTCACATGTTTACATCTTTAAAAAAAAAAAGAGAAGAAGGAAGAAGAGAAACTACATTAAAAATATACATATTTTGAGATCAAAAAGAAGAATAAGAGTTCTTAGCTATTTAGGGACATATTTTGCATCTTTTTGATTCATGAATTGATTTACTTACATGTTTAAAGTTGTTTGTGTGTGAAAGTACAGAAAGGTTCAGTGAATTAGACAAACACAGTTTTTGCAAGCGATAGTCTCAGCTGTGGCAAAACTATGTAGTAACTGATAAAACAACCTTATGTGCTACTTTAGTTGATGGTTACAGTAAGCTTAAAATAGTAGGGAATAACTTATACTATGGAAAAAGGATTAAAAATTTGATGAAGATGAAACAAATAAAATCAGGAACCAATTATAGAAGCTTGAGTTAAATACCTCAAAAAACAAATTACTTATGAGTTCCAAATCCACTCAAACTTGTTTGCATTTTACTTAAGGAGAAGTTTTTACCTACCAACTCCAGACATCTCCGGAATGCTGGCAGTGTACATGTCCTTGGTGAATTTTGGTTCATTGTCATTGATATCGTGGATTTTAATGATAAATTCAGATTCTGGCTCCACTTGTCTTCCAGTCTTTCTGTCTATAGCCTTGGCGCGTAGCACATACAGGGACTTTTCTTCTCTGTCCAATTTCTTTGCAGCATGAATATCTCCTGTATTTTCATCTATAATGAACAGACTGCCAGCCCCATCTCCTGTTAATATGTATTTTAAATTTCCATCTCCTTTATCTTGGTCAGTGTGTAGCTTCAGGGAGGTAGAAAAGAAGAATTCTATAAACATATGCATTGTTATTACAGGCTAAATCATTCAGCACATATGAATAAGTCTGTACAATCTTGACTGTAATTAGGGTCAGCAGTGGTTATCTTCTGTTTCACGGTTGGAAAAGTTACAAATTTGAGACTCAGTCATACACAAAAGTATACCTCTAAACAACTTTGTAAGGACACAAGGGGATGTAGAAGATAATAGAGAAATATTTAAAATGACCAGCTGATATTAAAAAAATGATATTTCTTTCAATAGTCTGTCCAGAAATCAACAGGAGTCTCCCTACTGAAGATAGCAGGGGTCTAAACTATCAAATTTCTCTTTGTAAAATAACGCCTATCTTCCTGTTTTCTGGTCTCTGGTAAGGCAACTAGTTGCCTTGTAACAGCAATGAAGAAAAGTAGTTTAAAGATTAGAGTTTTCTGAATGTCCCAAAATCATCTGTAAAATTCCTTATTTCAGAAACCTTTTTTTTTTTTTTTTTTATTTTAAGGACCATCTTACCTCTGTTAATTACTTCCTTCTTTCTAGTCCTCTCCACACAGGAGATATAATTTTCAAGAACGCTAGGAGGTAAATTTTCAAAGCATTGAGTGGAGTTCAGCAGTTCTTTTCCTACTATATCTCTTCACAAGAGTTCCAAACTGTATCCCTGTGTGAACTTACAGGCACTGATTAGTTTGCCATATAATATCATTATAAAAAACTGACTTAAAACAACAGTGAAAGCAAGTCAAAAAAGCTGACTCAGGCACTAGAACTTCCTACCTAATACTCTTTTCTTGAATCCTGTCCTCATAATTTCATTTAAAGGGATATACAATTCCTTTTCATGAGCATCTTTGGTATATTTTCCTTAGGTATATATTTATAGTCACATATGGCCACAGCTTGATGACCTGAGTGTTTTTCAAATACAGACAGAAAGAATCTTATCCTTCTTTTTTTTTTTTTTTTTTTGGTCCAAAGGGAACAATATCATAACATATCATCCACCCGAAAAAGAAATATTTTTCAGTATCAGCAAAGGTATTGCTCTAGGTAGTCACTAGAGCCAGAAAACTTATTTTGAGCCACTTTTTTTCTTGTTTCTGTACTCATGCCTGTGCTTAACTCCATGTTTCCTAGCTGAGCTGTTTCATCCTTTTATTACTCTACCTGTATGAAGGGCATTTGTGGTGGATTTTGTTAAATTTCTTCATTTTGATTTTTTTCTCTCCAGTTTTATACTGCAGCCTAACATATTCACCATATTGAGCTGATTCTTATTGTAATCTTATAGGTAAGGCAGGATGAGAGGTCTGTTTTAATAATTATAGGGCTTAATGTATTCAGCATATCTCTGTAATGAATATCTACAAAAATTCTTGACGATTACATACACTGGGATGAAAGAATTGTATACAACAAGCATACAGCCCTCCAAAAAGATACCGGCAACTTGGCAACTCTATAGATAATACATAGAAAATAAATATAATCACTGAGTGACCTCAGAGACTGATAGTGGAACATTAAGTAATCAATACAAAAAGAAATTAAAATAATTGATTATGATAAATATTTTTTATTCAGGGAAAAAAAAAGAGTAGATTAATTTTCATATCAAATACAAAATATAATGCATTTCTGTTGGCCAGTTGACTGCATCTCCTGCCCCGCAGGACAATTTCCTGCCCCTAAGAAATGCTGCACATTCATCCTTGTTGAGATTTTCCTCACCTTGTGGCATAAACATCACTTTTGCCGTTCTTCTTGAGGTAGAAGCTTTTTTAAATATGCCAAATTAAGTATCAGATCTCTGGATTGATGTCCCTCACCGGAACCTCATTTTCTCGTAAGCACAGGCCAGCTTCTCTTCGAGTCATTGCAATGTCCCCCCTGTGCAGTGTCCCATTGTGCTACATATCTTAGCACCCTCAGCCTCTCGGGGAGGCACTATGGCAAGAAGTGGGGCTAGGAGCTGCGTGAGGAACTCTAGGAATCACAAGAGATTAAATCATCCAACATGAGAGTCAGATGGACTTGGAGGTGGGTGGAGGCAGAAGGTGAGATGGGGGAAGCACCAGCGAAGTTGGGGCCTCTGTGAAGCTAACGCCCATGCTGGTTATGAGGAGGTGCTTCTTAATTCCCACACAGTTATAAGGAGGTACTACTTAATTCCCACAAAATATGCTTATCAATGACTTATCAGTGATTTGCTAAATTGTTTCCATAGCGCTAACATTAGTCAGACATGTAAATTCTGAAAAACTGAGTAGTTGCACATCCTGTTTTCATGTTTTTAGAAAGTTATATTCCTGCACATGTGTATCTTCAGCACACATTGTGATGGATATAAATGTATGTAACTAGCTTATTGTTAGAGGGATTAAACTACCCCCTGGCCCACAGAAATTATATTCACAGCAGCCTGCTTGGCAGATTGCAAAGCAAGAGCCTTAACTGTCAGGAGCCTTAGTCTTGAATTGTCAGGTCCGCTATGCAGTGAAAGAGCGTAATCTGGCCAGACACATCAAAAGTTTCTTGCTTTAGAAATAAACACAAATTACTGGAACAAAATATCATATAGTTCTGAACTGAAAAATAAAGGGGCTGAGGGTGTAGAATGAGATTTTTCTGTTATTCTTCCCAATTTGGAAGAGAAAACAAAATTCTACATTTAAAAAAGACTATATTGTATGTGTGGAATTGTATCAGAAATAATAAATAAATAATGCATACGTTATTGGAAATTATTTCTAAGAAATTATTTCAATATAATTTTACTTGAAAGTGTGATAATAACGTAGTTTATGTTTGCACAACGGTTAAATACTTTTTCTAGTCAGCTTTGCTAACGAAAGCATCTTTCAGGAAATACAGAGTGAAAAATGTAAATAGTGCTTGTGTGAACAAACCCAGGGTCAATAACCCTTGCAATAGAGCAATAATGAGCCAGTAGTGGGAGAAGTAATCACCTCTCCTGTGCTAGCAAATGGCTCTGGAAACACACATCTGTCCATAGCCATTTTCTTATCCTGCCAGTCAACTGTATATAGATCCCTGAAGAATAGGTTAATTTCTTTATCTGTATTATGAAACTATCCACTGAGAGGTCAAGTATCTCAAACTGTGAGGTATATATTGACCTTCCTGCTTATTTCATGTTTCTACCAAATGATGAACAGAATTTTCAAACACAGTAAATGTCCGTATACTGTTGCCAATTTTCTATTGGCAAGATCACCTGAAGTACAGTCATAAACTATTAGTTTTACTTTACTTTAGTTTTCACTAAACATTTAAGGAACCTTCATCTATCTGTGATATAGATTTTTACATAAGATAGTTTGGGCCAAATATGGGGATATTTTGATTTAAAAAAAAGAAGAAAGATGTTATCCAGTGTCTTCTAGAAATAAAATGCTAGCTGTATAAAACTAATTACACCATTCTCTGATGATGATAGAGTTCTGAAAGTAAAAAATATGCTTTTAATTTCTGAGGAAGGGTAGTTGCACACAATATTGTAGATATTTACACAAAATAAATTTAGGAATTTATAAAGTTCTAAAAAGGGTTTGCAAGCTAATTTTGATCAATCTATATTATGTTTTTATGATTGGTAATGTAAAGAGTTTAAATATTTTGAATATATAATATATATGCTATATAACATAAAACATGTCTTCAACCTTTCAAATTTTAATTGCTCTACAGAAAGCCTACAGAAAATTGCAAGTAAATATGCTTTGTTATAGCGTGTTTACAAAATATCGTGACTTTTATTCAGTAAAGACAAAAAACAAGAACGGGCTAATTTTCTTAATCCTATTCACAGTTATAGTAAATAGTAGTAAATTTTGCGAATTTAGTAAGCTGCTTCTGTGTGTAAAGGGAGCTCAGTTGTTCAGCCTGGAAAAACTAGTGTTCATATTTTTGGTCTGAAGTAACGTTGACTACTGCAAATTTCCCAGCGTCAGTAGGTCTGGGGAGATCTACCATTTGCTATCAGCTATTATTCTTATTGAAATATTTTGTTTTGCTTTACCCTACATGTTCCTTTTCAGTAGCTGGAGCAAAGGGTTAGCAAACCAAAATTCTCTGTGAATGGAAAAAGAACTTGTCAATTACCTCATTTCTAGTGTCATAAATTGTACGTTCTACAGTTTCTGTGAGGAGCTAGAAGTCATACACTTCAGTAAAATAAAATAAAATAGATAATATAACAGATTACTCAGTATATAGCGACCACCTCAATAGCAAATGTTTTCATAAATTCAGTATTCAGCATCAAGTCATCCGAAATTTGTTGGAATGGAGTATGTTACACACATTTCCTTTTCTGTAGTCTCTTATATGGCTGGCTAAATACATTCTCAACACAATTTCTCCTGAGGATCATCAACGATAAAGATACTGGTAATGGTAACGGGAGTGACAATTAGCCATTTTTGTTACAATGTATGCTTTAGAAATGTGGACATATTTGCAAATATTCTCCCAATCTTTTTTTTTTTCTCTCTCTCTATTTAAATAGAAAAAGCATGCATTTGAAATTAGCCTGTCTATCCAGCTCCGTGAAGCTGAATTTTTATGTGACATGGTAGCCAAGCTCTGGATGCTATTAGAAAAAATCTTAACGTAAATTTACATGTGTCAATGCTAGTGTAAATTCCAATAAGTAAATGAGTAGAAAAACAACAGGTTATCTCAGAGTAATAGTTGTGCAGCAAATTTCTATTTCCTCTCAATTAAGTACCTTACTTCTTTGGTCCTCACCTAACATTTAATATTTATCAGTAAATGGTAGTTATGACATATAACTGTCTAGTTTCAGGAAGTATTTTGTCTAACATTGTTAGTATGTGCAAAGGCTTGTCCCTAACCTCTCCCAAACTACTACCATTATCCTGAGCTGAAAAGATACAAGTGTTGTTTGGAGGAAAAATGATATCTCCTATGACCAAGTTAATGGACTGATATGGAAA